GCTTTTGTATAGGATTTAGCTAAGTTTTAAATAAAAAATATACATAAATAGAGCGAGGCGCGTCTCAAGGCGGGCCTTAGCCAAGATGAGGCATAAGCCTCATAAAAAAAGCTTGAGGCGTAAGACTTGAGGCATTTTTCATTGAAATTACGCTGAGGCGGGCCTCAAGGTGAGTCTCATATTGCCCAATTTTAAACAATATTACGAGGGACAATCCTCTTATACTATCAGCTACTCTGCAGGCAACCATAGGAGTTTATATAACCAACAAGTGACTAACTTGATAGAGGAGTTAGGAAATATCCGAAAAACATAGGTGGACATGAATATTCAGATACTAGATAAACTTAGGAGATTGAGAGAACAGATTGATGGAAATCAACCAGCGCTTACATCGACTAAGCATGATAGCGAGGACAGATTCCGCCTTCAATGTCTGTAAATATGTTTTTTTTATTCAGTTTACTTCTTTTGATGTATAAAAAATTATTGAAACTTTAACAGTGTTATGAAAATTTTAGAATTTTATGAAATGTGATTGTTTATTTGAGCTATTGGAATGTTTGTTACTATTTTATTGCTTATTACTATTAATTATTGCTTGTAAACTGTTTGAATTCGTATTGTTTGAAATCTCAATAACCAATTGCAGGAGCTATTTTTTTATTAATGCTACAGGTTTTGACGGATTTGTGACAGATTGTTTCATTGCAAACAATTTTGCGACACGAGTTTTTGAGTTTAATCTCAAATCCGCTGCAAATCAGTATTTGCGATGGATTTCTTTTGTTTTGTGGCGGATTATTCCGTCGCAAAAGGCTACATTTTCTTTAGTGTTGTGACGGTGTTGTCCACATAAGCATCCTCATCTCTACAACACTTAAATTAATTTTATGCTTCTCTTTTAATGGCATATATTTTGCGCCAATAAGCATTGCAGGTCTCAATATCATCTTATAAAATTTTCCCTTAAGTTTGAGGAGTACTTTTCTATCAAACAATAAGCTCTATGCATTCCTCCAATTCAACCATTCAACTTAAATTTACTAATAATATCTTCATCTATTTCACTATCATTTTATACAACAAACCTAAGATATGTAAAATATGTACTATTTTTAATGCCTTAATCACCTAAAGCCCCGACTAGATTTATTACTATTAAAATTACACTCAATGTATTCAACTTTAGGTCTACTCAAATAAAAGTCTTTAAACTCTTAAGGTTGATCTCCATAGTTCAAGACTTCAAGTTTTCCTTCAACATCCTCTCTAGTCTTATCAATAAGATAATCAACAAAAAGCATACATTAGGGACATCCTCTTCCAAATGTCTAGTAAGAACATCCATGTCTAAAGCAAAAACGATATGTGCTTAAAATTGATCCTTGATGTAATCCAACTGAAATAGAAAATGCTTGGTCAAATCATCTTATATTTGAACACAAGTAACAACTCCTACAATCATATCCTTAATGGCTAGAATATAAATATTATTAACTCATTTTTTTCTGGAATTCTCTAGAGCATTTCTCTTAGAACTTCATCATATGATTTCTCTAAATCAACAAATATTATATGTAGATCCTTCTTATTCTCTTTATACTCCTCTATCAGACATCTTAATAAATTTATAACTTCCATACTGGACTTGCCCATCATGAATCCAAATTAATTGAGAGACATTAGTATCATGTCGTATCCTGTGCTCAATTACTCTCTTCCATAGTTTTAATATATGACATATTAATTTGTCCTCTGTAATTTACAAATTTTTGTACATTATTTTTATTCTAAAAAATAAGAACCAACACACTCCTCAACTCATCTGATGTTTTTTTTAAGTCTTTAAAATAATATTGAAAAAGTTTAGTAAGCCAAGTAATTCCTTTCATCTCCTAAATATTTCCATACGTTAATTTGATTATCTTCAGTTCCAATTATTTTTTCACACTTCAATCTCTTTAAAGCCTCTATAATTTTGATTTTATTAGTACGATGTTAACAAAGGTAATCTCCATTCTTATTTAAGGTGTTAAGGTCATTACAGTCAATCATATTTTCATATTTTCAAAATTTTTTGATATTCATCTTTAATGCATTTCACTTGAATTAAAAATTTCTTTTATCTTTACTTGACTAACTTATTCATATATCTTTTATCTTTCTTTGTATTTAGTCTATTATATAAATCATTAAAAGCTAAATTAGTTACATCACATATTGATTTCTTAGACTCCTTGTAAGCTCCTCAATATGTTTCTCAATTTTTTAAGTTTTAACATCTAAACTAATTTTTGTAATAAAGCTTCTTATTTATTATTTTTTTTGCACATTCTAATTTTACTATTAATTATTTTTATTATTAAGAGCTTTTTATTTTGATACTCCAAACACATACTTTACAATATTCTTAATATGATTTGCTACTTTTTTTTTCACATATCATTAATTTTTTCATGCACAATTAAAATCTTGAGATCTTAAATCTTACTCTATAAAATTTTTTTGTTAGCATTTTTTAAATGCTCTATCTAATTCTTGGATAAAATTTTATTCTTTTTAATTTTTCGTTCCTTAATATTAAAGTTCAAAACTAATAAGCGATGTAGGATATATAAACTTTATTAGGAATGACTTTGTAATCTTTACAATCTAAGTGATATGTTTTTCTTATAAAAAATAATCAATCTTAATTTTACTATATCTATTCTTATAAGTGATAAGATGCTCATTTCTTCTTTTTTAATAAATTATTAGAAATTTAAAAAAATTATAAATTAGAGTAAAATTTAATATAGTCCTACCACTTTTATTAGTCGCTCAAACTCGTCATCATGAATGTTTTTAAAATATTCTACCAACATGTTCATTTAAATCCCCTTAAATAACAATTCTTTCTTCAAGAGGTATCATTTGTATTAATTCTTTTAAGTTATTTCAAAATTTTAATTTTGAACACATCCAAATTTACTTGAGGAGCATAAGCACTTATAAAATTAATAATATTAGTATCTATTGCAATCTTTAAAACTATAATTCTATCTTCAATTCTATTATTTTTTAGAACATTTTTCTTTAAACTATTATTTATAATCACTCATGCACAATTTTTAATACGTCTCCTACTCTAATATAATAGGTTAAATCTTAAATTATCAATCTCCTTAGCCTTTTCTCCAACCCATTTACTTTTTTGAATTCATAAAATATTTATCTTCCTATGAATCCTAACATCTATTTATTTGTTTTTAAGAGAGTATATATTGCATGTTCATATCTTAATTTTACTTTCATAGAATAGCTTCTTAGCTCATATCCATCCATGATATGGAAATCCTTGCTTAATTGCATACTACACCCAGGCATTGGTGCAGCGGCCATTGCACTCTTCTTGTTTTATTAAGGTCACACACCACATAGCTTTCAAGGAACACCCTAATATTAATGCAATGTATTAAATGATTCATGTTATTATTATTTGATAAGTTTTATACAGGCTGCCTACAATCTAATGTAACCCTCAACTTTTTTCATTCGGGTTGGGACCTGACAGCGACAGTGTTAGTTGTGTATTTCACTACAATAACAACAACATCAAACCTTTGTCCCATTACGGGGGGTCGGCTACATGAATCCTTTTTCTTCATTGTGTCCTATTAAAAGTCAAATTCTCATTTAAATCTAATAAAGAAAGATCATTTCTAATATTTTCTAAAAAATGCACTATAAATTTCAACTCATGGATTAATTTCAACCCATTTGAAGGTTTGTTTGCTTTAAAATCACAATAATCTTCTTATGCAATTAGAGTTGGCTATTGAGAAAATTTTAGTGCATCCAATTGATGAATGTAGAATCTTAAAAGTTCTCAAAATCACATGTGCCACTTGCCTTTGTGATGTTAAAGATAATGAATGATTTTAATTGTATATTTCAAGGTCAACATTCAAATTTTATGAGGAGAAGATTTTTCTACTTCTAGGAGGCGAATGACTATTCTTCCAATTTCATCCATTACTTTATGTTATCTTCATTACACAAGATCACACTAATTAAGATTCACAACACGAGTTATTTGTGGATGAAGTTTCATTAAATTTTATGATGATTCAACGATTCATGAAGCATATGATAAATACAAGAATTGCTGTATAACATATAGAAACCCTATTAGAAATTTTCATTTACCCTTGTATTTCACCAAATTAAAAATTTTCAATACATTTAAATATATCAAGTATTGAAGATGCATTCTAAGTCTCTTTATAATCTCAACACTTTGATATCACAGATATCGTATCATTTAATCAGATTCATTTATTATAAAAATTTTGATGTGTTCGATTAAAGATTAAATGATTTTGAAAAATTATTGGAACAGAGCATTCCACTAATTTTAATGGTTTAAAACAGAATTGGATGTTTTAATCTTGCATTTGAGATGATATATATGTGTGTGCGCGTGCTCGTGCACATACATTTTACTATATCATATTTTTTTAAATACACTTGTTATAAATTTATTTAGCAAAATGGATTGTTTTGATCTGATATTTGAAATTTATACATCAAAATATTCATAGGAAGGTAGAAGTCATACACACGCACATTTGTAGATACATTCTTTGGCATTTATGAATATACTAAAGTATTTTAATATATTTTATTGAAACGAATGTCAAATTGGCCCTTGCACTATTTGTGTAGAGGTATTTTAGTCCCAGACTGTCAAATATGTTCAATTTAGACTCTGTAACTCTTCAAATCTAATCCAAAATTGCTCCTTAATTTATCAACTTTTATCCAAATAATCCTGGAAATGGACTATTTTGGATCATTGATTGATCAAGTGATTAAATTTAACATGTTAAATAATTGATATTAAAATGGCCCCATAGAAATTGCTTGCTTTGACCTTTTTCTCAAATTTTGTTAGATTATGTGTGTTAATTTCTCAACATTTTATTAAATCAGATTTTTAAAGCCTCCTTTTATAGGTGTCCATTCCTGTGCGCCCCTTGCTAGCTACAGTTAGGAGAGTGCTTCAAGTGGATGGTTCTTTTCATGGTACTTTGTTTCCTTTGATCACTTCCATGCATCAGGAACTTCTTTGTGCAGAGCTTCCAGCCCTTCATCTGGGTTGCTTGGATTTTCTTATTGCAATTATCAAAGGTTTACGAAGGTAAGAGTTTTATGTATCTTTTGATTTAGTTCTTTCAACTCAAATGGGTAATTTTTTCTTGAAGATGATTTTTTTTCCCTTACTGATTAGGTGTAGCAGTAGCAATTTAATGCCTATTTTAGCCACTTGAATATTCAGTTTTTCTTTTAAACCTCACTATTTCATTTTCCTCAATTTTTTATTAGTATTGGCAGAGTTTGCGTTTATGCAGTGTAGTTCTGCTCTGTGGAAATATTAATGGCCTTTTTTTCTTTACCAAAAGTAAGATTATGTTGTGCCATTAGTGAATGAAGTTATCTTTTTTTTTTCAATAGGGTTTTTGATGATTTCTAGACATTTGTTCTGATGTATTTAATTCTGCCTTGAACTACAATCCTGCATGAAGTTTACTTTATAAATTTGCACTCACTTAAAAATGCTATCTATGGCTGCAGCCAACTCTTGCCACATGGTGCCAATGTTGTGCGGCTCCTCACTGAATATTTCAGGAGTGCTAGGATGCCTTCAATAAGAAGAAAAGTATACTCTATAATGCAGATGCTGATCTCAATGGGTGTTGGTATGCTTACCTCATTTGTTTTCCAAATGTGATTCTCAGTTTCCAATCTTTAATATTGTACTTAGTTAAAAAAACATTCAAGGATGAAATGCTAACGATTTATCTATCTTTATAAGCGACTGATTTCTTTTCTTTTCTTAAGGAATGGGTAATCCTTAATTATATTGTTATAAAAAATGCTATCTACTTTTATAGATAAATGAATGTGATTAACTGTTGAAATTTGACCTTGATCAGGAATGGCTCTTTACCTTGCTCAAGAAGTAGTTAATAATGTTTTTGTTGACCTTACTGATAACCTTGAGCTTGGGAGTAGTGCAATGCTTTCCAATATGCAATCATCTATCTTAGTTGGTGAGACATTTCGACAAAATTACCACAAGAAGAGGAAACTTGCCTCAGTAATTCCAGCGGAACATTCCAATGGTGTTGATTTAAGCTTTAAGACTTGCAACAAGAAATCACAAGCTCCTCTTTCTGTGAAGATTGCTGCACTAAAAGCATTGGAAGCTCTTCTTACAATGGTACGAATGTATCGATGAAACTGCTTTTTAAATATAAAGTTATACTCATCTCTCTTACCTTAGTTGTGTTGAAAATCTTTGCATTTTAACTTTTTTGACAATTTTAAATGTTAGTTGATTCCAGCTTTGCATGTCATTAGGATGGACAACAAATATTTCATCACATAACGGATGTTTAGGAATGGTCATGATACATGAAAATAGTTTCGGCTAATTATTTTACTTATATATAATAAATCTTAGGGAAAATTGTTTTTTCTGAATTTAAAATTGGTTCAAGCAAGAAATGTTCAATGATACGTTCCAAAGGTTTATGAGTTTCAGATTTTTCATATCTGAAAGACATTTATCTTTTGTTGTCTTAATGGGCTTTAAGTATATGATACGTGTTTGTGTTATATAACAATTAACAAATATTAAAAAGTTCATCACCCACTTTCTAGGCCCTCATTTTCTGACATTTTACGTTTCACCCCAATTTTTTAAATTCCCGTGATCCATATAATTTACTTTTTCATGTATCTCTTTGGTTAAGGTATTTGAAATCAACTTACCGCATCATTTTCCTATCTTTTGTATTTTAGTTTCAATAACTATTTTTGGAAACTTAACAGGGTGGTTCGTTGAAATCTGAGTGCTGGCGTCCAGACGTTGATTTCCTGGTGATAATTGTGGCTACGAATGCTTTTGATGCAAGCTGGGCGAATGAAAACAAGCTGTGTTTATTGACAGATGAATCCTCTTTTGCTGATTACCAGTTAGCAACCTTGGAGGTGCTGCTAGCATCTCTTCTTTCACCAACTCATACTCGATCTCCATATTTATCCCAAGGTCTTGATCTATTTCGAAGAGGTAATAATGCCATCAATTAGGTTTTTTAAATTTCAAGTAGCATGATCAATTTTACTAAAGCAATCGATTATTGAACTATACATTGCCCTTTTCTTGTCTAGTTGGATCCATCATTGATAATGACCTTTATAATTCTTTGTTCAATATTTGGTGTAATTTTGAGTGTGATGTAGTGCTTTAGGAGGACTTCAGTTTTGTTTTGTTTTTTTTTTTTCTAAATGATTATTTCTACTTATGACCTCACCCTGTAATTGCTTTCTCAAAACCTTCCTTCTAAATTTTCTATATTGATTGCTTCGATACACTTTGTATCATATTGGAGTTTTAGCATTACTCGCTATTTGCTCTTATCAATGATTTAATATAATGAATTTTGTAAAAAATATATAGACTTAACAAATCTAACAACTACAGTTCTGGGATTTAAGGTTCATCAATTAACACATCATCGAAGTTAAAAAGCTAGTTTTTAACATAAAGAAAAAAAATCCTGTAAATGCTGTTGTTTTCTCATTGCAATGATTATTCCTTTGGAATTATACTGCAGGAAGGCAGGAAACTGGATCAAAGATAGCTACCTTCTGTGCACACGCCCTTCTTGCTCTTGAAGTTCTCATACATCCTCGTGCTTTGCCACTTGTGGACCATCCCCCTCCCAATAATCTATCAGTTGGCGAAGGATTCAACCAGAGTTTTGCAGGCCGTAACTTCAACAATAATATTAAAATAAACCTTCCTTCTCTCTCAAAAGGTGATTTAGGACTCCTTGATGAAGAGGATGAAGAACTATCCAGCGGTTGGTTTGATGAGGAGGGACGAACTTTATCAGAGAACAGAAATCTGAATGATAAATACAATGAAACAACCAATCAATTATTAAATGTTTCTGAAGATCTTATGGAGAAACCGTTGGCTATTAATTCAGAAAATGTTTTAGAGTATGAAACTACTATTGTTGAAGAGAAAACAGGAGAGTCTAAGCCCAGAAACGAAATTAGCTTCCACAATGCTTCACCCAATAAGATGGATTTTGGCCAAGGAAGTTCAGCAGTGTTTGCTGCAGATATGACGCTACAGAAAAGTGAGAGTCTTGTGAACATATCTGTAAATACGAGCAACCAGGGCAGCAATGCTCCTGGCCTCTCAAAAGGCAAGATTAAAGAAGATTCTTCTCCAAGAAGAACACCTAATTTGGACAAGGGAAAGGATGCAATGCTATCTTATGATTCAGACTCTATTTCCTTGGGTTCATTGCCAGATATTGTGGACGGTGATCCTGACTCTGAATAGAATATTATAAAAATTTTAAGTTAATGTAGAGCTTATGGCCATAATGGGAAGGTAAGTTTTAATTCTGTACCTGAAAGGAATTTTTTTTCTATTATATTTTGCTCTGATATCTATTCATTTTAATTCTATTGATCAGTAAAACTAGTCACAATTAGGCTTATGATCCACATATTGGAACTTTTAGTATCTACTCAATGGCTTTCTATTACGAACGAGTCATAGAAAATTCTTGCTCTTTTTATTTTTTTGTATTAAAAATTCTACAATATGTGGATACTGATCCCATTCTCACTGTATTTGATCTCTTCTCAACCTTTACTTTTCATTTGATTCATTCTTTCACTTTAGTTGCAGGTAAGGTCTCTTCTGATGATTCCAACATTTGTTAGCTTTGCTAACTTTTTGCATTTCAGCTTGGCTTTGTGCTTTAATTATGTTTCTATTTTGCCCTTTTTGAATATTTTTGCCAATTTGTGGATAAAGTAAAATATCATCACAACAACAACAAATTGTTTTTAGAAAGGAACAGAAGTATGCTCGAGTAGTAGGAGCACGTATGGGAGAAAATTTAATTAGGGGCGAGCGAAATAATGAAACGTTTTGAAGCATTCGCAGATTGATTGGTGCAATCAAAATGCGTCAATCAGTTTGGCACATTCTAGTAAAACCCCATTTGATTTGGCGCATTTTACTCATCGCCCGTTCTCCACTTCCCTGACCAGATATGTAAATTACAGATCTTTAAGTTCGAGCCGTGCGTCTTCCTTTGATTCCAAGGCGTGGATAGTGGCATTTGGCCGGGGCCGTGCGGAGCGAGGAAGCGCCTATAAAAACCCCATCTACATACAATGCAGGCGAAAATTCAAGAATAGAATTGGTTTGCAGGTTTGTAAGATTTTTTTTTTTTTAAGTGCAGAAAGTTGTTAATGATTTCTAATTATATTTGTCAGCTTGTTTTGTAAGATTATGCTCTGTAATTAGATTCAAATAGTTGACATTGTAATTGTATATCTTAAAAGTGTTGATTGATTATTGTTAGTGATATTTCTTTTATTTAACTTTTTTAATAATTCTGTGTGTCATTGTTAATCTTAATGAATTTATTTCGATAAGTTAGAAGATCTCATATATTATGTATAGATTAGAATTGATTTAGTAATATTTTTTTTTGTGGGAGAATGAGAAATTCGGAAATATCAAAACAATAAGTTCGAGCTCATTTAAGGTTTGTTTTTAGTATATAATTTAAATTATTTTGTTGGTTAAATTATTTAGATGGAAGAAAGAATTAATCTTTACGATTAGTTCAAAGTTTGTTTAAGCTTGATTTCAGTAGATTTTTATAGTTAGCCAAATACCATTTTAAGAGTTTTGCCTCTCTCCCTATAAATATCAAGCTTGGTTGGGAACACCTATGCTCTGATCACTCCCTTATTGTTATGCAAGACTGCAATCTCCCCTCTCATGTTTAAGAATTTGTGGTCCAAGATTGATGGATATTGGAATATTCTCCTTCATGTTTTGTTTCGAACCTTGTCAAGGGAATCCTTTGGTTGATTTATGTAACAAACTCAAGAAGGTCAAAGATAGCATTAAACCCAAACCATGGGCTTCCTCTTCCTCTATTAAAATAGCTCTTGGTAACTTTCAAGTTGTTGCAACTCATTGCTGACGAGTTTATATTTTTGATGATAACAAACATTATAGCTCACATCTTTATGTTTCATAGTATTTTTCATTCTATACTTGTTTTGTGTGTATATTAATATTTCAGGAAAATCATACTCCAGACTGCCGAAGACTTCAAGACATATTATATTAGGATTTTTTGCAATAAAGTTTGTAATTTTTCTATTTTTCTTGAGTCTGAGAGAGTGTGATTGTAATTGGGTAACCGTACACACACACATTGGGGAGTGTAAAAACTTGTATTTTTTAAACTAATCGTATTGTATGATTTTGGGATCGTACATGATGATTTGATCTGAGTGTTCCTCTAGAAAGCAATTAATCGAATCATGCCTTGGAAATTTTCTTTGTATTGTACGAAATTACTTTCGTACATACGACGTCCAGAGTACGAAATGGGCTCCTCCATATTCATACCATATGAAGCATGATTTGATTTAATTAGTTCATACTGTACGATGTAGGGTTCGTATATACGACTACAATAGTACGAAATGGGTTCGTACAAAATCGTACCGGTCGAACTTGTTCAATTTTTGAACTGATCGTACAGTACGATGTCAGTTCGTACATACTAATTTGAACTGTTTGTACGGGACACTATGCGTTCATACGAATGATTTGCACGGGACATTATGTGTTCGTACGAGACACTATGCGTTTGTACGGGACACTGCGTTCGTACAAACGATTCGTATGGGGCACTATGCATTCATACTTGACACTATTCATTCGTACTAGACGATATGCAATCATACAATACGATCGTAAGACAATTTTCTTACAATTTTCAGTTTTTAAACGAGTTTTCATGTCCTTTCTATATAAGGAGTCCTAAAAACTGAGACAAAATACCTTTGTTGTGAATTTCTCTTGAGAGCAGTCATTGAGTGTGAGTGTTTGGGAGAGATTGTGAGAGTGAAGTGTGAGAGATCAATTGAGGGGGGTTGTGAAGGATTCACAAGGTTACCTAAAGCGATGATCTCTTTGTTTCCTTCAAGTTTCTACCCATCTCCTATGGAGGCTTTTAAGTGAAGTTCTTTAACATCAGTCTCGTATTCTCTGCCTTCACCAGGAGGGTGAAAAAGGATGCCGGTTCTCTGCCGACACTTGGAGGGTGTGAAAGGACGACAATTCTCTGCCGACACTTGGAGGGTGTGAAAGGACAACGGTTCTCTGTCGACACTTGGACGACGACTCTCTACCGATACTTAGAGAGTGTGAAAAGACAACGGTTCTCTGCCGCACTGGAGATTGATGGAAGAGAGAAAAATTGTGAAGATTTATCCGCCTTGCCGTGTGGGCAAAATGAGAGTCACTTTGGAATAGTGCAATACCTGAAGAGGGAGTCTTCAGGGAGTGGATGTAGGTCTAGTTGGACCGAATCACTATAAAACTAATTGATGTTCTTCTGTTCTCTTTTATTTTTCTCTTTTTTATTTTACGCACTTTAATATTTTATGGTTGAAAAATCTTTTATGTTAAAATTGTAAATCGGTTTTTTAAAATTTACCAAGAGTTTTTTAAATTACCAATCACTCCTCTTGGTTAGCATTGAGACAATTGCGTATGTCTAATAACCTATATGGAAGTCAACACAAGTTCAGCAAAATATTTGTCTTTCTCTCTGGGCATTGAGCCTCTAAATATGTAACTTAATGGTTACCTAAAAATTTTGAACTTTTAAATAACTGAACACACCTCTCTTTGGTTATCATGGATCACCCAAAAGCAAAAGCTAACTAGTTGAGGAATGGTGAGGATAACCTTAAATTTTTATACTAAAAAATTTGTCTGAAGAATTACAATAGAACATTTATCATAGCAATTATGGATGGGAATGCTAGCAATGATTCTCAGGCTATTCAAACTATCATAGATCATTTCCAAATTTTGTTTAACACCCTCCCCTTCCCCCCAATACCTGACAGGTTGGCATAGCTTTGGTCCCCTTGCAAATGATTCGGCCCCCTTGCAAATGATTTGGCCCCCTTCTTTGCAAAGCTGTTAAGTCGTTTTTTTGTTAAGGGCTATCTCCCTAAAAGTGTAAAAGCTACAGGAATTGCTCTCATCCCAAAACAAATCGTGTCAGGTTAATTACTAATTTCTGACCCATCTCGTTGTGCAACACAATATATAAAATTATAGTAGCCAAACTAAAAACCATTATGCTGCATATCATCAATCTATCACATGCTGGCTTTATCCATATGAGGATTTGCATTGGTAATGTTATACTCGCTTTTGAATTTCTAGGGTTCTTTAAAAAATGCAAGTAAACTACATTTTTCTATGCAAAGTTAGATATCAGCAAAAGTGTTTGATTTTGTTTTAAGGGAATTTTTTATTAAGAGGATGACTCAAAAAGATTTATTGACATTTTTTGTTGGTTGGATAAAAGCTTGTATTGCTAATGTTCATTTCTTGGTATGTGTGGATGTTACCTTGGAGAGCTATTTCTCCTCCTTTGCTAGACTTAGACAGGGCTGTCCTCTAAGCCCTTAATTATTTTACATCATTATGGATGCTTTTCCTAATCTCTTGGACTTTACTGATAATGAAGAAAAATTTGAACAGCTATGTAAATGACTATCAATTCTTCCATCTGCTTTATGTAGAATATCTCTTAATGTTTTTGCAAGGCATCCGTGCTCAAATCATTGAGGCTCTAAATCTCACCCTTACCACTTTTGCTAAATCCTCTGGTCTCGTTATCAACCCTGAGAAAAGCTTTCTTATTCTTTAAGCTAACTCTCCCAAAGCAAATGAAATATGTGCTTCTCTCAACATTCCTATGCATTGTTCCAAAATTTTTATTTGGGCCTCCCCTGTCTATCAAAAGAGCACATCGATATGATTTCACCCCCTACTGGATATTATTACTTATTACTAACAAGTATTTGGGCTAGAAAGCAAGACATCTCTTTTGCAGGTAGGCTTCAATTTTTTAGATATATCATTTGGAATACAATTACATATTGGATTCGTGGATTAATATTTCCTAAGTTCTATTGCAAGCAAATAGGTGAAATTGACCTAAAGATCTGCCCTAGGGTTGATTAGGAGTGGAATTACCCCTCCTTGACCGTGGTTTGCATCTATGAGCTAAAGGAAAGGATTTAAATGGATTTAAGAGTCATGATTTGACCGAAAGAGGTCAAATTGACTCATTAAGACTTGGGTTGACCAAATCAAAGGTTGACTTGGTCAAACTAGTCAATTAAGTCCAATGAGGTGGAGGATTTGAGCCAAAGATAGGTTGGAATCGATTTGAATTTGATTTGGGCTTAAAAGGTCCAAATGGGTCAAACCAGGTTGACTTGGTCAACCAACTTGACCCAGGGCAAGGGTCTGGGCCCAATGGGTTGGGTCTGACCCATTGACTCTAGTGGAGGTGAGAAATCGAGCCTAGAAGCCACGTAGTTGATTTGAAACTAAGTGGAAGAAAATTAGTTTAATTTGGGTCAACCCAAATTGACCTGGTCAACCAGGTTGACCCAAGGTCTGGGTCTGGGCTTAACAAACTTAGCTTGACCCCTGGAATTGAATGGGAGAGGTCTTGGGGCCTAGCTTGGTCAAATTTACCAGGTCAAACCCTTTGACCTAGGGTTTGAGCAAAATAGATGTCAACACACAACATTAACAATATAAGATTCAAAAATTTGAGGTATTTGTTTCCCAAGTTTTAAGAATTGAAAGAACAATATTTCATAATATCATAACTTATAATAATGATAACACTCATTTCAAAATATGATAATTTAATTTAATATTATTTGGCTATGAATTTGTATTATGATGAAGCTTAGTGTAATATATAATGAGCGATATATAAATAGAAAATAGATTGACATTAAATTGATAAAATAAATTGAGCCAATAAATTTTTTAGAAGAACAATTAATAGACCTAATATAATATATCAAAATAAAGTCTAAATTATTTTTCATACTGATCATAAATTGAATTTCCTTATCTTTGAACATTCAAACTGCACTAATTCCTCATCAAGACTGCTTTGGAAAAAGAACATTGAAGCATAATGAAAATATACATTTTTAATATTTGATATAAATCTACATGTGCTTTAAAATCCACTTTTGTTGTCAAGATTGCTTTTGTTTTTCAGTCTATATGTGTTATCAATGCAACATGTGGTGTCAAATCAACCTATGAGCTCAAATCGATATGTGATGTTAAATCAGTTTGTGTTGTGAAATCTTTTAGTCAAGTCAAATCAGATATTTTTTATTCCTTAATGAACCTCTACCCAGAAGGAGTTCTCCTATAAATTGACAATCCTTTTAATGTTAGGATCAAAGTACCTAGTATATACTAGATACTTTATATTGCATTCATATCAAACTGTATCGAACCAGAAAGTATCAGACTGAAAAAATTCCTTTGAAGCAATTGATTATGGATGGTAGCAGTCGTGTTCCTAGATGCTTAACATTTGAAACTTATGGTGCATTGGATGAAAAAGCTAGATCGAATCATATCTACTGGTGTTGCGTACTTTCTTGGTCAAATAACAATGACTGAAAGCTTTAGGAGACACACAGGGATCTTATGAGGTATCCATCTTACAGAGATGGAGAGGGATTAAACGAGGAAGGATGGAAATATGTGCAAAGGGAGATTTCTCAATTTGCAGCATATCTAGCACTGATTAACACTTTGAAGGCTAGATCAACAAAATTAGATGCTGTCATGATGGATCGTTCGAGGAGATCATGGATAACCCAATGGTGGATATTGCTCACTGCATCCTTTATCAGAAATGAGATACTAAGGCTGATGCAATTCTCATCAAGACTTATGATAATCTAAATTTTCTACCTGGTAGATAGAGGAAGGACTTTCTCAATGCAGCAAACTGGAAATATGTTCAATATTGGTTTAAATAGAAATTTGGTTGCTCTCCTACTAAATCCCAACTCCAAGCTCGCACTCACATCGTACTATAAAAGCATTGAAGGAGTTTCTCAACCTTAAAACTTTTATATTTGGAGTTGGTATTCTAAGAACATGTTTTCAACAAACTTCTTTAGTTTTATGGTTGCCTACATAATTATCTGTACGAGTTTAATAATGTACGTGCTTGTTTGTTATTGTCATTTTTTTAAGATTTATGGATTTGTATCAGTTTGGTATAATCAATTTCACTACTTAAAATTCTATAGAATAACTTAAATACATGCACTATTATAATTTTTATTATGCAAATGATATCAATCTAATAGGTGAATCTTTTATTGAAATTAATGAAAAGTTCTACAAGTTGTGGAAGGATAGAGCAAGTGCATATTTTATTTTATATAAAATTTTAGCTTTAAACCTTGTTTGGTTTAAAAAGAGTAAGTAAACGGGTGTAAAAATTGATATAGACCCACGTAATAATGAAAAGAAAAATAGTTCAAAAATCCTATAATAGAAAGTCATGATAAGATATAACGTTCACAGATATTTGATATTATATAGAACGTAAAAAAATAATCAAGACAAAGTTCAGTACTTAATACAATAATTCATATATGAACTCCTAGTTCTTATGACCAAATCCAGTTAGGCAGGTAGCTCAGTTATGTCCAACTAAATGGTAAGCTCCACAAACCCTATTACTCTGTATATGTGATTCCTCCATTGTATTGCAATACTAATTAGTCCTCGGACGACCATATCGCCTTCAATGGTCAGTATTGGGGGCATGCTCTCCCCATTCTTCCTTATTGGGGACATGGTGAAATTCATCTTGATAACTTAATTTGTATTTGGTCATCATGTAGTAGAGAGAAACATAATCAAAATGCATTTGTCTTAACATTGCTATACAACATACCACATGTGCACATGATATGTGATATAGTAAAAGTTTCCCATAACTACACTTGCACCTCCTTCCGTCAAGTAAGTCGACATGATATGATCTAGAGGATATGTCAACAACTTGAAATTTATGCAAGTTAAAACAGATTGATTCTGGCATTCGTCTAGCCTCCTCCTCAACCCTTTTAAGTGATGTTTGTATACATGGAAAAAAGAAGTTATTATTTTGCTGCTCTTCAATTGTAATGAACTCCAACTGCCTCATAAACATTACGACAATGTTATAGTAGATGACTGTAATCAAGGCTTGAATTGATAATCCTAAAGCTAGCTTCAAAACTTCATTAAAAGACTCAGCTACATTGGTTGTCATTACACCCTATCTAAATCCACCATCATGTGTTAAAGACCATTGGGTCACATCTCGATCCATGAGCCACTAGTGTATGTCTACTTTGATTCTCTTCATATCTTCTATGCATCTATTAAAAAATCCTTTGTCATTTGTATTGCCACAGGCATATATTTTATGGCATAAAAATTTTACATCACCTAACCACATCTGTCATATTGATTTCTTAAAATTCTCATGTAGATGCCTTAAGCAGTGCCAGTGAACAACATTAGGAAAAATTTTCCTATAACCTCGGACCAAACCGGCATGTCTGTCTGATAAGATAAAGAGAATATGCATGTTTGTAACAACTCAGAGGAGCTCATTAAGTTACATGAGAAATCATATCCATGATTCATTACACTCTGACTTAGCTATAATAAAGACAAGTGGAAATAAATCATTATTAACATCCAAGTCGATTGCAATTAATAATGTTCCTCGGTATTTATCGAGTATGAATGTGGACTAAGAACATGCCGACAATAAGTTTCCCCAGTAATATAGAAGGATCGAATGCCTAGAATTGTCTTTAAAACTTATTCATCAGTATGCTTTGAATTCTATATACCGTTCCTGGCATTGTAGAGGTAACGACATCCTTGAACAAATTGAGAGTATGATAAGTCTCCTCCCAATTTCCAAAAATAATCTTAATAGCCTTCCACCGAGCATCTCAAGCCTTCATGTATGCAAATAATTACTCCAAACAAAATAAATTACAAAATCATCACAACAACAATTACATTAAATATATATTTTTTAAATTATCTATTTCCAAAACATGTAAAACTTAACAAAAATATTTACTTCAACATAAAATTTCTTCAACGTTTCACTGTTTTATAATGTGCATAACATAAACTCAAGAAACACAAAATTATTGAATTTATTTTATAATTAATGTGATATGTGAAAATTTATTCACATTTTATAAAACTAGCTATATATTATTCAGATTTTCCTTCACAAATTTTATGTCTAATTTTCTTCCTCTTTATTTTTTCTCTCTGGGAAGTTTAAGTTAATCTCAAAATAATAAAAATAAATATTTAATAATTTAACAAATTATAGCATATGTGTAACAATCTATATCTTTCCAAACTCAAGTAACACAAATTAATCTCTTTTCCAAACACAAGTAACAAAAATTTTTCCTTTGAATCTTCTACAATTATCTCCTCTCTCTCTCTCCCCATCCGTTCTCTACAAAAAAAAAAAAAAAATTTAGACCGTTCTCTACAAAAATAATTTTAGTAATTGAATAATATAATGATTTAGATACTATTAATATCAAATGATATGCAATCAAACGGATAAATTTCTAAAAAATTAATAAAATATTAATCAGCATCATGAAATTATAGCTTTCCCACACAAAAAAAAAAAAAAAATCCTATTATCCATAAAAAAACACTCTCCATATATATAGGACAGTTATAACATTTACACAGTTGTCTTCATCCTCACCTTAACAGGGCCCTTCATTCTCCACCAACAGTATCCTTCTTTTCCTCTAAATCCCCCATCATTATCTCTCTCTCTCTCTCTCCCCCCTCGTTGTCTTCAAAAATGGTGGTATGAAGGAACCTAAAGAACATTTTCGAGAACCCAATGGCTGATGATTCATACTCTCCATGGGGGCAGCACCTTCCTTCAACCTCCTCTGTCTCCTCCTTTGAGATATTCGGCGAGCACTGCCATTCCCCCTCCTCCACCACTTCTCCTCCTCCTCCTCCTCCTACTCACCACCAATCCATTGCCTCCATGCCAGAGCCCCATAATACCCCCGCCTTCAAGATCATCGACGAGCTCTGTCATGCCGAAAAATCCGATTTTTATCCCAACAGCGACGCAAATATGCCAAGCAAGTCAACGTGCGAAAGGAGCAGTTTTGAGGAGGTAGGAGAATACAGGAGGAGCAACTCAGATGTCGGACAGAGAATAGCTGCCTCTGGCAACGGCGACGGCGACGGCGTGGGCCAAGTGGAATTTCCACCACCGATAACTACTATAGGAAGCGGCGGGAAGCCGAGAGTGTATTTCAAATCGTTTCGGAAAGATGGGAGATTTGTTTTGAGGGAAATAAGGATTCCAACGCAGAGATGTCTGCAATCGAAGAGGGAAGATGGGAGGCTGACGATGCAAGTTTTGGGGCCAAGAGATGAGGAAGAGGAGATGATGAAGGGAGACAGAGAAGATAACTAACTGGTTAAAATGTTGTCATGATCGTTTGATCTGGTATTCCAATAATTTAGATTCTTGATGCTTTCTAGTAAGTGTATGTCTGATTTCCATTATTAATTTACTCTTTAAAGGAATGGAAAAATGGATTCTTAAGATTAAAATCTCAAAAAAGTTTGGTTTATCAATGAAAATTTGAATGTTGTTTTCTCATTATTATTATGAATTTTTTATAGTGGAAAAGATGATTTTTTAACGATTATATCTAAATTATTTTCACCACAACTTTAAATTTAATTTAATAAAATATTAGAACCGTCTCAAACAAACTCTAAAACTCTCCACACGTACATGGGCTAGAAAAACATGAATTGATTTTTAATTAAATTCTCTAATGGGTTTCACATGAATCCTATTTATAGCTCGCAAAAGGAAGTAGCCAATGTAATAATTCAGCTCACAGGTATGGATCAGCTAATTGACAACTAGTTGCTGCTATCTCTAACAAGTTGCTAAATTAAACAAATTAAGATTTTTTTTTTTTTTTTCTGGATTAAGGATATATTTGGTGCAATTGCAGTTTTTTTGGTAAAGATGATTATAAAGCTTTTGTGGGAAAAATATTTTTTTTTTGAAAGATATTGTAAAAAATAGCTTCCTAGCACTATAATTTTTTAAAAGTAATATTAGCAAAGCAATAATCAAACAAATTAATTATATTTACGGTTTGAAATGCAAAGAAGTAAGAAAACTATCCCAAATAGACCACCTTAAATATATAAGATTTTTTAATTGTATATAATTATAGCTATTATAACCGTCGTAAATTTGGAAGCTTGTAGCAGCTTATACCACTTCTAGAAGCTTCCTAATATATTTATGTTTTTGTCCACATATTCTCTAGGAAAGTGTGGTAAATAGTAATTATAATCAAGAAAAAACTAATGGCTGGGCAAAAACTATCAGAATAAGGATTTCAATAAATATTAAATCACACAATTAAAACAAATAATTTTAGTAATTACATATAAATTAGGCCTGGCATTCTCATATGACCAAAAGTCATCTTATGTTTCCAATTAATTCTCCAAAATTATAATCAATCTTATATAGCTTGTGTAAAGAATTTTTTTGATTTCTAAAAATAATAATGTACATACATATACATATGGTCTCTTGTTGCGTCTTAAAAAAGCTCACTCAGCCCTTTGAATGGAATTATTGTATACGCAATCCGAACGCAGAATAAGGTTTGGATGCTATGTATTTACTGTTTTTTTTTTTTTGTTGTGTATTTTTTTTATAAATAATTTTTTCGTGGTAAATAAATAACAAATAAATAATACTATTTGATATAACTATGTTGGGTTAACTCCTTCAGGACAAACTCCATAATTTGTTCATTAGATTTTCTATCCCAGTACTCAAACATCAAATCAATATTGTAATTGTGTCATTTGACACCAAGTTATTCCAAAATCCAATGCTATATATTCCTTGGCAAATAAAATTTAGAGTAAGCAATAGAAAATGATGCAAGTTAATAAACATTAATAAATAATGTATATCTAATCATTATGATCATTACCTCTATTTCAACTAATATTCTCTCTTTGAATGGCTCCATATCCTTATTATGACAATATGGGAAAGATATTGATGCCAATATAGGGTCTCTTGCTATAACTCCTAAATATGATTCCAACATAACATATTCTAATATATTACATGGCCTGCCATTATTGCTGATCTCAATGTAAAAATGTGTACTTAAGAATCTCAATAGAATGAACTATATATATATGATCTCAATGGACTTATTTGTTATATTACGAGGCATATGTGGTTTGCCCTCTATGCCTTTTTGGTACAATGTGCACAACAATATTCTAAATCTTAAAGTCTTCATAAAATTATAAATTTATGACTTACATAAAGATTAAAAAAATAAAAACTTCTAAGCATACGCCATCATTTACGAGCCTGTTGAGGGAACTTTTATTTGGTCAGGTGACCTGATGTAGCTCTACGTTCGGACGCCAGTAAAATAGTGTCACGTGTTCTTACTTTTTATCGCGCGGCCCGACAAACTGACCCGAAACGGACCCAGGATTGCTATGTTCACGTATTGCTAGGTATTATTCAATTTTGCTCGATAATAACGAGAAATATCATTCTGTGAAGACCAATACCTAGCAATACCGAGAAATACCCAATTTTTCTAGGTATTGGTCTTGACAAAGCAGTATTTCTCGTTATTGTCGAGCAATACCTAGCAATACGCGAACATAGCAATCCCAGGTTCCGATCCGGGTCGGGTCGTCGGGCCGCATGTTAAAGAGTAAGAGCACGTGGCGACATGTTATTGACGTCCAAATGTAGAACTACGTCAAATCACCTGACCTAATAATTGTTCCTGTTGAGGAGACTCCACAAATGAATGCCTTTGGGGCTCTTGATTCTCATTAAATTCATGCTCTTAAATCAGTTATGAACACAGTGAAGCCTTCTCAATGTTTTTAACCTTCATTGCACGTTGTAGTAAGCTACAAATTGTTATTCTTACAAATATAGATGTATCATAAAAAAGGATATTTAAAAAAATAAGCCACGTAAAAATAAAATTGTTCGTAATTTAAATAAGAAATCATGGTTACTTACATCAAGTAATATTTGAGCATTGTCATAAGATATACTTGAATCAACAATATCTTTTGGTATAACTCTTATATATATAGTAAAATTCTGTTTTTTTTTTTTTTTTTTTTTTTTTTTTTTTTTTTTTGCTTTTTTAGGATCTTCAATGTAAAAAATGAGTGTAACTTGTGAAGAGAAAATGAATGGAGTATGATTCAATTTTTCACCAATGTAAAATTAACTAAAGTATTTCCATAATGATCTACCTTCATACTAGTAGCACTTTTGTTAACACAATCACACTTGAATAAGACAACACAAAATAAATTAAAGTAATTTATCACAATAATTTCATTTACTTAGAGATAGTAATGAAAATTTTTAACATTTAAAAAAAAAAATTAGCATATGTTTGTCAACAACATAATATTTTTTGAACCTTCTTATTTTCATTGCAATGCATTATATGAAAATTAAAACCATAAATATAGCATCTCATTTGACGGAAATGGAAGGTCCGAGGAAATATTATTACGTCCTCCGACCGGTCGTAGAGGAACGTCCAGTCGGAGGCCAAATCACGCCAAAAAAGAGAGAAATAACGAGCAAATACCGAGCAATACCAAACAATAACGAGGAATACCATCACGTGAAGATCCAATACCGAGTTATACTGAGCTATACCAAGAAATACCGAGTTATACAAAAGTTGTACCGAGTTTTTCCTAGAAAAAACTCGGTGTAGCTCGGTATGACTCGGTATTGATCTTCACAGAGCGGTATTCCTCATTATTATCAAATAATACATGGTAATACCGAGCAAATACCGAGTTTTTTGGCAGGATTTTGCCTCCGACCGGACGTTCCTCTACGTTCTTACACCGGACCTAATAAAAGTTCAGGTCCGAGGGGGTAGAAGGGATCCTTCCCTTGGCTTGATCTTTGTGGTCGATACATTTTGAGTTCCCTGCCTCAAATCTTGTTGCAATCCATCTATGGCCATTTGCAAGAGCTCAAATTTTTTAAAAAATTAATCAATCGCAATTCACAACTAAATGTAATTCCTCATGATATAAGTAGTAGATCAATATTTCCTTGTAGATCTAAATTTGTTTTTCTTAGATCAAGATTATATGTAAAATTTCAATTAAGTTTTAAATATTGTAGATTATATACATTTTTATGTATATCTATAATTATTTATTTATATATAATTCATTCTATACGTAGGTTTCTTATTAAAGTTATTTAAAATTTTATTTCTAATTATTTAAATTAAGCGTTTCTAAGTTTTATAAATCAAGTACTAAAGTAAAATTAAAGAACTAAGGCTTTGTTTGTGAGAGTTTTTTTATTGTTTTTTAAAATAATTTCTTAGTACACAAATTTAAAATTCAAAAAAAAAAAAATTTGTACTAAAAAATATTTTAGAAAGCTGTGAGAAACTTGTCCCAAACGAAACCTAAATCGTCACCTTTCAAAGATTAAAATCCAATCAATCTTATTTGTAAGCTCTAAGCATAAAATAATAATAGTTTGATAAGCTGTATGTAATGTGTTCAAAATTTTCAATTTTGTAACATAGGTAGTAGGTGTGATTTCAAGATTGTATTTAGTTTGATCAATTAGAAATTTAACGATAGGTAAGAGATATGTTAGTCAATATTGTAAGTAGTATGCAAAGAAATTCAAATCAAGAAGCAGGAAAATGTTTCTAAGAGCTATGAAATTTGGTCTCTCTATTTCTCTCACAGAGATTCATTTAGTGAATGACAATCTACAACTCATACATGTATTTATACTAATCAGTAGGTGTGTGCTAGTACACATGTTTAGCTTTGATTGGATGAGTTAGTTACAGTTTGTATATGTCGTTCTACTTCTGTTACTTGAGTTGCTTTTATGCCCTCACAATTTGTTGGTCTGGGATGGACTATCAATTTGTTCCATAGAAGTGTAAATCGTGCTGTAGAGAGATGCTTAGTTAGGATGTCAGCTATTTGATGCTTATAGGAACAATACGAATTGTATTGGTGTTGACATGATGTAGTATGAAGTGATGATCTACTTCTATGTGTTTTGTTCTAGCATGAAACACCGGACTGTTAGCCAATGCTATTGTTGATGTATTGTCACAATGTATATCTGTGGCTGATTTGAGATTAATGTTGAAGTCTTGCATCAGTTGTCTTAGCCATATGATATCCATGATTGCAGCTGCTAAAGTACGATATTCTGCCTCAATTGACGACCGAGCTACAGTATGTTATTTCTTTACACTCCAGGCTATGATAGTGTTGTCAAGAAATGTGCAATAACCAGATGTAGACCTTCTTGTTGCTATATCACTTGCCCAATCAGCATCTAAAACCAACGTCAGTGTAAGTGGAGCTTTTGAAATCGAAATACCATAATGCACTGTTCCTTTTATGTAGCGTAGCAATCTTTTTAACAGATAAAAATGAAGTGGTTTTGGATCATGCATATATTGGCATAAAAGGTTTACAT